GGTACTTGTTGACTTATTTATTGAACGTATTTGGAATGAGTAGCTTTGTGCTTATCTGAACTTCATTACTTGAGTGATGGTACCTCATTTGGCGAAAGCTCACTCTATTGTCTTTGTTTTCATTACAAGGATATGAATACCTTTTGGGGAACTGTGATTTTGAAGCCGAGTTGAGCTAGTTTAATATTCTTTTGTATAGCTCCTCGATGGTTGGAAAACCTTACATGTATTTTGATACAACATTCCCTTTGGGGTTGTAAATTTGCAACTATATGTGTATAAAAGTGTTTAGTAATGTTTATGTGTACCATTCTGTTTGTAAATGTCTATTTTCAAAGTTTATATGATTTAATGGTAATCGGTTGGGTTCCAGACAGGTTCGGATTTCAAATGACAAAAGAAAAATTTGGCGGGAAAAGGCACAGGGGAATCCGGCCAGATCTTGGCCGGATTGCTGGCCGGATTGTCCTGGAATTTTTGAATCCGGGCAGTTGGTCTCTGCCTCCAATCTGGCCAAGAATCTGGCCGGAAATCCGGCCGGATTGTGACGTGGTCGGCACTGTTCACGTGTGGCTCCGATTTTTCATTTTCGTTTCGTGATTTTTGATTCGTTTGAGCGCGCTAATAACTTTCGGAACGTTTTAGACTATATATAACCGTCTTAGTAGTCCCGGCGAGAGTTAGGCAGACAGTTCGCTAATCCATTTGGTACGCCTTTTGGGAAGGTGGGACTGTCACAGGTGGTATCAGAGCCTAGGTTAGTGATGACCTAGGCAAGTTTGAATTTTGTACCTTAGGACCTGTGTGAGGGAAGTGTTAAGGTACCGTTAAGTGTGATTATGCTTTTGTTGTCTAAGATATGAATCCTTTTGCTATTCTTGTAGGCCATGGCTGGAGCAAGCGGAAAGGGCGGGGGTGAACCGCCTCAGAGACGCCCTCGTGTGATTGACTGTCAAGAAAGGGAGGTCCGATTCGATTTTGGTATACCGCCAGTCGGGCCCGTGGTTGTAATCGTTGTCAGAACCACTCCTACGTCGATCATGTGGTCATGGCGGTGTTAGGTGAACGGAGAAGACTTAGGGGTGCCGCCGCCAGGGATCACACGGAGATACTTAGATTGAGGGGCATCACGAGGATGCAAGCCGACCGGATAGAAGAGCTCCGAGAGGACATAGCTATGGTGCAAGAACGCACTAATGCTCTTAGGGAGCAGTTGCAAGGGGTCAACCATCGTCTTACCAATGTCGTCCGGGAAGTTAGAGACCGTTCCGGTGGCATTATTAACCAGTGCGAGGCACTAATCCAAGGTGTGATTGACGTCAATGCGCAAGTGGAGGCTCCTAGTGATGGAACCTCTGGAGAGGGAAGCACCCCTAGTTCTAGCCAAGGGGGAGAGTCTGTGGCCTCCGTAGGGAGTTAGGTTAGAACTCTTTTGAACCACTTTTGATTCCATGGGAACCGTAGATCGAGAAAAAAACCCTTAGCTAGCCGTTTTTGTACGTTTGGACTAGCTTTGTATATATAACTTTTGATGACGCTGTTCTCTCATGGACTTTCTTTGTTTGTACTTGACTGACAGTTAATGTGTGACTTGTTTGACACTGTTGTGTGATATGTGTATATGTTTTGCTTGTAAATAGTTTGGCTCCTTACTTACGTTTACCGTTATTGTTAATGTTATATCTACATTTTACCTTAGATCGATTAAACTCCATGGAAGGAACACGTAGTGGTCGGGGTCGTGGGCGTGGTGGTAGGCAACCCACAACTGCAGGAGGTAGTCGAGAAGCCATGCCTGAACCCAATCTTGAGCCTAGAATCGACCCTAACGCTCAAGTAGCTGCCGCCATCCAACGAATGACGGACCTGCTAACTCATGTGGTGGAGCATCAGGGTCAAAACCCTCAACCTCAACCTGGAAACACTAATCCTGGCAACCACGTAGAGAGCGAGGATAGAGCTCTCGAAAGATTTCAGAAGTTTTCCCCACCCAAGTTTAGTGGCGGGCAGGATCCTGATGAGGCCGAGAGATGGTTGGAAAAGATGGTGGACATCTTTGCTGCGTTACATTATACGGAGGAGAGGCATGTGACTTTCGCTGTCTTTCAACTGGAAGGGGCTGCCCGTTCTTGATGGAACGTCATACGGTAAAAGTGGGAACGAGAACAGACACCAAGGACGTGGGTAAATTTCATGAGGGAATTCAACGCCAAGTTTTTCCCTCTTTTGGTTCAGGAAAGGAAATAAGACGAGTTTATTCGGTTTCGCCAGGGGACTCAGACTGTAGCTGAGTACGAAAGCCAATTCACTCACCTATTCAAATTCGCCCCCGAACTAGTCATGACTGAACAACGAAGGATAAGGCGCTTCGTCCAGGGCTTGAACGTGGAAATCCAGAAGGACCTCGCTGTGGCCCAAATTAACGCTTTTAGTGAGGCCGTGGAGAAGGCTCAACGAGTGAAATGCGCCAGGCTCCAAGTGAGGAACTTTCAAGCTAAAAAGCGAGGATTTCCTGGTAGTAGCTCAGGGCAAGGGGATAAGAGTACCCTCCCAAGTTTGGACGGGAAGTCGGAGGTGGAAGGCAACCGGGAGTATCAAGAGGGGCTCAGTCAAGGGGTGGCCAAGCTGGGCGAGGCCAAAGAGGAAATTTCCAGGGGGCCTCAGCTTCGGCATCTCGCGGTCCCTGTGGCCATTGTGGGAAGTCAAACCACATGGAAGACAATTGTTGGAGGAAGGAAGGAAAGTGTTTACGCTGTGGGAGTGCAGACCACCAACTTGCCATATGCCCGGTCCTAAAACGAGATGGAAAGGGGAGCCCACAACCGCCGAAGACCAATTCTGGACCGGCTAAGGGGGAAGGGACTAAACCTAAGGTGTCGGCTCTAGTGTACTCACTAGAACCACAACAGGTCACTAACTCTTCCGAGGTCGTAGAAGGTATGATCCTTGTATTCCACCGATTTGCGAAAGTCTTAGTAGATCCCGGTGTCACCCATTCCTTTGTTAACCCCAATTTTATGTGCGAAATCGATATAAAACCTGCTAGTTTACCATATGACCTAGAAGTCAGTACCCCCACGGGGGACCACCGTCTGATCACTAGCATGGTTTATAAGAATTATGAAGTTTGGGTAGGAGAGAGAATGTTGCTAAGGGATTTGATAAGCCTGTCCATTAAGGGGTATGACGTAATTTTAGACATGGACTGGTTAGCCAGGTATAATGCTCAACTTGATTGTAAGAAGAAAGTAGTAGAATTCCGTATTCTTGGGGAGGCAACCTTGAGGTTGGATATAAGGGGTAGGTTGGCCTCATCTGCATTAATTTCGGGTATTCGGCTTAGGAAATTATTAAGTAGAGGGGCGCAAGGGTTTTTAGCCTTTCTAATCAATACCCCCACCGATAAATTGAAGGTAGAGGATGTGCACGTAGTGAAGGAATAGCTAGACGTATTTTCTGATGAGTTAGTAGCCCTACCTCCGGAGAGAGAGATAGAATTCAAAATTGATCTGTTACCGGGAACGTCACCTATCTCTAAAACCCCGTATCGGATGGCACATGCTGATCTTAAGGAATTGAAATTGCAGTTACAAGATCTTTTGGAGCGAGGGTTTATTCGAGAGAGTGGGTCTCCTTGGGGAGCCATTGTGTTGTTTGTGAAGAAAAAAGATGGGAGTTTACGGATGTGTATAGATTATCGGGGGCTGAATAATGTAACAGTTAAAAATAAGTATCCACTGCCCCATGTCGATGAATTGTTCGACCAGTTGCAAGTAGCAGTGGTCTTTTTGAAATTGGATTTTCGACAGGGGTACTACCAATTATTGATTAGGAAGGAGGATATCCCAAAAATTGCTTTCATTTTAGGCCAGATCTTGGCCGGATTGTCCTGGAATTTTTGAATCTGGGCAGTTGGTCTCTGCCTCCAATCCGGCCAAGAATCCGGCTGGATTGTGACATGGTCGATACTGTTCACGTACGGCTCCGATTTCCATTTTTGTTTCGTGATTTTTGATTCGTTTGAGCGCGCTAATAACTTCCGGAACGTTTTAGACTATATATAACCGTCTTAGTAGTCCTGGCGAGAGTTGGGCAGGCAGTTCGCTAACCACTTTGGTACGCCTTAGGGGAAGGTGGGGCTGTCACAAACTGATATTATCTGTAATTTGGGATGAATTTGAAAAGGCAAACCTGTTTCATTATATACACTTGTTAGTCATGGTTTATATTCGAAGTCTGGAATTCTGGAATTCTAGTTTATATTGGAAAGGCAAACCTGTTAACATGAATCTGGAAGTTTGGATTTGACGAAATAGGAACTCAAGCTCGAGCTCGATCTCGAGTAGCTTAGGCTTGATATTTACTCGAACTCAAACGAGTCGAGCTCGAGTTTAGTTTTCATTTTATCGAGTCAAGCTCGAGCTCAAATTTATATAATCGTTCGAGCTCAAGCTCGAGCTCGAGTAATACTGATTGAGATCGAGTTCGAGCTCGAGTATGGGGTTACTCGAGCTCGGCTTGACTCGATAGCAGCCCTAATTTAAATTAAAAAGTTATAATTACCTATTTCCCATGTTTGAAGAATAATTCTCCTAACATAGACAAGCAAATGAACTAACTTATTTTACAATTTCTTAAATAAAGTGCAATTCTAAATGATATGATTAACACATGTAAAGGGTACGAGGTAGCGGATAATATAATAGAAAATATCATGCAAATGAGAAAATATCCTAAAAATAAAATATGCATGAAAATGTAATGAATGTCACACAAAAATGAATCTAACGCACGAACGATCTAGGGGTCTAGCATTGGACTAACCCATTTCTAAAAAATCTTTACTAGCGTTGGACTAGCAAGTAAACGGAGGAAGATGCCACAATTAGCGTTGGACTAGTGTGGTGACGTCACGCATTAATAATACATAGTAAGACAAATAGGCATAAATTAAAACAAATAACACATAAGAGCATGTAGCACGTAACACGTAAACATAATATCTAGATGCAAAAATCCTAAGGAAACGAGTAAACACATAAGCACACGAGCATGCAAACACATAAACAAATAAAAGTGAATAAAGATCTAACTATTACATTTGGAACCCTAACTACAATCTAAGGGGGATAAGAGTAAAATAATACCCTAACTATTACAATTTGGCATTTGATTGCCTCTCAAATAATCATCAAAGTTAAATTAAATTTATGAAACTTAAAACGAATAAAACAAATAACTAAAAAAAAATCACTCAAAACATGTAAATTCACACATAGAAACACATAAGAGAATATAAGATAATTTAAAATAAAACAAGAACATACCTCCCTTGAAGTAGTAGCTAATTGGGTTTGGTTTTACCTATTTAACTCCAAAATTAACAAAAATCATCAAGGCACCAATTTAATTAACAAATGAATCATAAAAAATGGAAATAAGCATGAAATCTATCAAATTGAACACTTTAATGAAGTATATCAATAATTAAAGAAGAAAAGTAATTTCTATTTAAGAAAATCAAATCTGTCAGGGACCTAATTGCAAAAATTAACAAAAGTTTTGGGGTCAAATTATATTATCACAAAGATTCAGGGTCAAAATTAAAGCAAAATAAAGTTTAGGGACCTATTTGTAGTTAAATTAGCGACCTAACTAAAAGAAATATAAAATATTTAGAGCCGCAGTACAATTATTCAAAAGTACAGGGACTGTTCTGTAAATTCCTCACTAGATCACTTAAGAAATTGGGCCACTGGGCCATTTTTATTTCTCTCTCGGGCTAAAATCAACTCAGCCCAAGTAAAGTTCAAAGGAAAACCAGCAGGCCAGCCCACTTTTATTTACCAAATCAGCCCAATAAAAAATACATGGGCTCTAGCCTCCTAACCCAAGCCAAAAACCCCAATAAAATAAACTAAAACCCATTCCTAAAATCCAAACAAAATAGCTCAGATTTTTATACAAAAACCCACCTAACAAACCTCAACCAAAACCTCCAACTATTTTACCAAACCCAATCAAAATAATAAATCTATCAAAATTATTAAATCTTAAATTTCATCCTAAAATTCATAAATAATCTGTAAAAAAAAATCATATTAAAATATGCCAAAGAAAATTTAAATTTAAAGGGGCAGAATTGATTATTTGCAGAAGTTTTTGAGCCACAGTGAAATTAGGTAAAAATTGGGGGATCAAAAAATGAAATTTTCAGAAATTCATGCATCCTGCCCGAAGCTTTCCTCTGCAGTTTCTGGGTTTGCTTGTCTGGCCAACTGAAGCTCTGGCAGCCACGGCGGCGCCAACGCCTGTCGCCGGCGATTTCTCCGGTCGCCAAAAATTACCAAAATACACACCCCTACTCGATTTTTCGCGTAGATTCCATTTCTGGAGTTTTTTTTTTACAAAAAAAAAAAATGAATCAAAAGTGGCGAAATTGTCAAATTACAACCAGAATTTATTTTCCTAAAATCACTCAAATCTCTCCCAAAAATCGTAAATTTTATACCAAAACACTACTTGTGACTTCTACAACCCAACCATGACCTTGAATTAGCAAAAATAATTCAATTTAATTCAACTCTTCATTTTTTGGCATTTTTCAAACAATTAGTACGCATATACAAAAATTTATTTCCTTTCCCCTTAATCTAGTTTATAACTTAACCCCAACATTTGGCAACACATCATCGACAATAAAACCCAACAAAAGCAAGAGAAACTAAGCAATCAACATGAATTTAATTTGCTTCAAAAAATTGAGAGATACCTCACCGAAAGTGGAGTTGGTTAAAATGCTTTGATGAAACTCCAAACCTCCAACTGTCCAATGGCTTGCCCTTTATTTTGTTGTTTTGCTGATAGGTGTCTGAAATTGAGAGGGGGAAAGGAGAGGAGAAACCGAGAGGGAGAGGGGTTTTTTTTTCCTTCTCCGTTTTCTTTCTTCTGCCCAAGTCTGAGAAAGGGAGAGAGTTTTCCTTTTTTTCCTTCCTCTTCTATTCGTTGAGCCCGAGGACCTCTGGAGCAAATTTTTTCTTCTCTTTTTTTTTCCGCCGCCTAAGCCGAGAGAAGGATTGATAGAGGGATCCTAAAGCAATTTTTTTTCTTCTTCTGTCCGTTGCCTTCTCTTTTTCTCTCGTTGGATGCCTTCGGTCAAAAGTGGATCATGATTTTGGTGGCATCATGATGAACAAGTCATCATGATTTCTCCATTTTCTTTTTATTTATTTATTTTATTTATTTTTTATTTTTACAAAAATCAATTTTGTTTGTTTGTTTTTTCTGTTTTAGTTTTTCTTTTTCTAAAACAAAGCTGCAAAAATGAGAAAATTACACATTAAAATGCAAGAAAATAAATACCTCATTAAATATAAAAAATCCAAGAAAACATTAAAAATTAACAAAAATTTGGTGTCTACAGAACCATGGGTCTCTAGTTTTGTCGAGTGGAGTGTTATCTTCTCGACTAATTGGTATGCTCGAGTATTACTACTAGTGTTTATCTTGACATCGGGCCCGGTAGGGGGTTTGAATGGTGGACGGAAATTTGAGTTAAGTGGTGCTCTACTGGACTTATTATAATTCCATGGTTGACGGAGTGTCAACAAATTTTGAACAAGTGGTCATGGAACTTGCTCCCCAGAGTAGACTGTATCCTTTTACTTGGAAATGTTGGATATCTAATAATTTGCTATTTGAAGTGTTATTACTCATTTTTATGAACTCTTATGCTCGCTACTTTGATATTTTCACTTTTAAATAGTGGTCAACTTGATACTTGGATCTGCATGATGTTTTGGAACCTCACTGAGTTTTAACTCACCTTATTAGTTTTGTTTTTCTTACAGGGGGTACGAGCGAGGGCGTGAGGCTAGTACAGGCTAGCATTGTCTGAAATAGTGCTCGATTAGGGTTAAATGTATCTGAAATTTTAAATATTTTGAGATATTTCGGAATGTATGAGTTTTGGAGCTTAACTTAAGCATCAATGTACATTCTAAGCTTGGAAATTGTTGTTTCATTCATTGTCAATATTTGTAAATTGTTTTTCTTGTTTTTTTTTTTTGTAAGTAACTGAGCGAGTCCTGACGAGAGTTGGACAGGCGGTCCGCTAAACCCTGGGGTAGGCCCTAGAGGGAGGTGGGGTCGTCACACATGCGGCGTGCTAGACCTTCTACATCGATTTAAAAAATACTGTAGGGGTGCTTATCGTCTTAAAGAGAGCGTTCTACGTGCCTTTATCCTACTGGACTTCCCAGTAGCTGTCAAATTCAAGGTGATTAGTTTGAAGATTAGAAGCTGTTCTTGTACTCTCCTTTTAACACTAACAAGTATAACAAAATATCATACATATAATGCATGTACTTCCCAACTAATATACCAAGTTTCACACACACAAAGTCTAAAGGTTACCTATGCCTTTTTGCGCATTTTTTGATTTATTAGGGTTAGAAATGTCTTTATACTATGATTGTCAATATTGTTGACTAGGTGGATGGGACCTCACAAGTTCGAGTTCCTACAATTTCACAGTTAGGATTAAAAGTGATAGTTGGACGAATGAGATTAAAATTATCAAAACAACATCATTTTAACAATTGGAAAGAAAAGGAAGAAATATAGTGAAAATAAAGACACTACACATCTTGTTTGGCATAAAAAATTTCCTTTTTGTCAATTTGATTAAGATAATGATGGTTTCTAACAATTTCAGAAATCATGGTCAAGATTCACAACTTGTTGTAATATATCTTTCTTCTTCTCCTTTGCTCTGCCCACTGGAGTATGTAATAATCCAAAAAAAAACTGAAGACAAGTTGACAAAAGATTTCTCTAGGGTTGTGTTTTGATGATTGGATTTGGTTGGTTTTGGAGTTGAAATCATCTACCTAAATCCATCATCATTTTCGGATAAATTCTTTAGTAGTTGTATTTGAAATCCAGAAAAATTTAAAGAGCATTTGATATGCTCAAGTTGACGAAATTCAAATCCACTTGATAGAGATGTTATTTTAAATCCATCTGACTTTTCCTTAACTGGTTTCTTGTCGCAATCGTCTTCTGGTTGTTTTAACTGATAATTGTTTATTTATAGTAGTTCTGACATGATGATTTTACTCTTTAAGAGCTACTAGTCGATTGATCTTCAACCTCTATTTCTTGTTTTGGTCAAAATTCACAATTATCTTGTTATGGAATGATGTTTACTTAGTCACAAGATTCAATTTGAGTGTTGATATGTGATTGTTCTATATCATTTCATGGCTTCCGAACTTTTTTTGTTTCAATTTTGTGTTTGAATTTTGATTGTGGAGAGAACAAGGAGTTTATTGATTATTTCCCATCAAGAAAACACTACCATAACATGGTTGATGGTAGCTGTGCAAAGCAGTGCCAACCTTAGAGCCGCTACCATCCTTAGGAGTATCTTCGAAAATTTGACATACTTCAGTCACCAAAAAAAAATTATTTTTTGTAGTTCTTTTTTATCCTTCAAGATACATTTTTAATTTTAGAGATTTACCCTGCAAACTTATTTTTTCTTAGCTAATCAGAATTTCCTTTTTGTATTTCTAATGTATTTCAAATCCTTCATTCAAATCTTTTAATTTTCCAAACAAAGTAATTCAATTAATGAGTTAAAATGCTAGCATTTGAAATCCATTCATTTGAATATTCAACGTCAAATCCAAATTCTTCAGTCCAAAACACTGCTTGGGGGGAATAAATTATTGCAATTCCAAATTTATAGAGATTAGTTCTTCAACTTAGACTATATCGCCCAAAATTTTTTAAAAAAAATCATGGGTCAAAATTAAAGTTAAAATTTTATAAGATATCTTTCTTCTTCTCTTTCACTCTCCATATTAGGCATAAGAAAAAGAAAATGAAATTAAAAATATATAGCAAGTTAAAGAAGGAATTCTTTTTGTAGGTCTATTTTAAGAAAGTCACTGCAACCCCAAGTTAGTGAAGATGTTAACTTTTCAACCAAGGTTAGAAGTTGGATATAAGAAACCCAAGAATAGATCCTGTGATCAAAGTTGGGTATTGAATTCATTCTTTCATGGATATTATAGCACCTTAAGCAATTTAAATTTTTGAAAATTTAAAAAACATTATTTTGCTTCCTAATTACGAAATCATAAGGATTATGTGAAATGTCCCACATTGACTAGGAAATAGGAAATGCAATGGTATATAATGTCCGGCCTATTGGATTATTAATAGTTGATTTTAGCTCAAAAGGTTATTTAGTTAGCTTGTTGGGTGCAGGGCATTATAATTGGTATCAAAGCGAATCTCACATAGTCTTTGCATGGACCGAGCCTGGGGCCAAGTGGTGATATGGTTCCAACCAAGGACACAAAATTCTAAAGGTAGGAAAAGTGAAATGTCCCCTATTGATTAGGAAAGAGGAAAAGCAATGGTATATAATGTCCGACCTATTGAATTACTAATAACTTTGAATTAACCATTTTGAACCCGTGGTTTCAACTCAAAAGGTCATTATGCTAGCCCGTTCGGTGTGGTACGTTACATTATGAATGGTAAACTCTCAAATCATTAAATGATATCAACAATATCCGTACACCTAAGAAAATAATCAAAGTGGTACTTCACTCATATAACCAATTTGTTTGTGGGGCTACAGGGCGTAACTGTGAGGACCCGAAAATTATTTTATATTTTATTTTATTCCTTTGAATGCATTTTCTTTACTTTAATTTATTGCTTTAATTTTCTAGATATTTTTATAAGTGAGTCAAGTTTTTAAATCATTTTTCTTGTATAAGTTAGTACATGTTAAGTTCGTAATGCATTATGGAAGTAGGACCCACTAGTGAGGTGTGTGCGATAAATTTTTGAAGATTAGAAGGAGTTTTGTGCAAAAGGATATTATTTTATAAGGTGTTATGAGATAATTAGAGGTTGGCTAGATATTTTAGTGATTGGAAGACAAAAGAATGAGGATTAATCATTGGAAGTCATTTGTCAATCAAGCCTTGGAGCTTTGACTTTGACTACAGCCTTTCTTAGCCTTTAATAAAAGAAAATTTAACCAAAAACCCTCATCTTCTTCCCTTCATTTGGCCGACTCTCCTAGCAAGGAAAAAGAGAGAAAAACTCCATTTTTTTCAACCTAGAACCTTGCTTGAATCTTTGAGATTTTCACCATAAATTTGCAATCCAATCCATAGGAAGTAACTTTAAAGAAGGAGGAAGACCTTGGGTGGAGGAATTTAGGGAAAAAAGGAAGCTTTGGTTGCTCTTCTTCATAGGATTAAAGGTAATCATGGCTTGAAACCATCTCTTCACTTTTAACTTGCACTTTAGTAGATTTAAGGCTTGATTATGGTGGATTCTATGAAAAATTTCATGGTTTGTGTAGTAAATTGAAATTTCCAACTTTAAATGAAGAATTTCCAGTTTTGATATGGTCCTTTCAATTTTCTATGATCTATTAGCTTTACCATGTGGATTATCTAACCTTTGTATGTTCTTTTAGCTTCATTATAGAAATTTCAACTTGTGACCATGAAGTTTTGATGCACATTTTGTGGTTAATACTATTAGAGTTTGGGAATTGTTATTATTTTCTGAGATTTGTGAGTAAGTCCTGGTAAGAGCTAGGCAGACGGTCCGCCAAACTCTTGGATACGCCCTAGGGGGAGGTGGGAACTGTCACAGTAACTATTAAGATGAGTAGTATAACTATAAAAAACATGAAAATATATTATTATCATCATTTACAATAAATTTGCATTAGATGTTTCTAATGCCTTTAAATGAAATGGTCATATATCCCTAATAAAGCAATTAACATACCTTTAAACGAAAGTAAATTTTGTATTAATAGGACAATAGTTTCATATGCCTAGAGCCTAATAAGTTTAATCATATCAATCAATAGTTATTTCTTCACCTACATTAGTTAACTTATACTATTTTCGTGTAATTTTATAATATTATGATGTAACTATTAAGTTAAGTAGGGTAACCATCTAGTCGAACAGTGTAATTTTAAAATAGAGGAAGATACATTATCATCATCATTTAGAATGATACGTAGTCTTCATTGACTATTTCTAATACCTTCAAATGAGATGGTCTT